TTTTTTCTGATCCTCCTCTGCATCCCACCTGCAGGAGTGTTGGGACTGATCAAGAGGCTGCATGATGCTTAGTTGCCAGCTGGGGTTAAACCACACCAAATATATATAAAGGAAATTTTGAGATCTTTGGAATTAAAATGCTGGGCAACTGACCCTGTGTTTTTTTGCCTGATTATTGGCAAACTGCTACATAATCTGCCACTATAAGAATCCCAGTAGTGAATCCAATCCCGAACTGAGTGTGGGGCTAATGGGGTGCCCTACTAACATTAGTAGTGGTTAGCAGGCTGATCCTGGAAACCCTAAGAGTGGGTCAGGGATCTTACGCAAAAGAAGCATCAAGTGGAAGAGGCAGATTCTGGAGGAAACAAGCCAGCATCAAAATACTGTGACAATGACCTCTAACTGGAATATAGTTGCAGAAGTTTTCTTAAGATCTTCAGAGGAATGGAATGACTGATTCATAAAGAGAAGATCTGCTGGTTTACCTAGGAAAAGGAAACCTGAGAGGTAATCTGATCACTTTGTATAAACTACAGGAGGGTATACACCATGGCTGGAAAAGCATCCTTTAAACTAACAAGAGGACAGAACGGGAAAAATAGGTATAGGCTAGCATTAACTAAGTTTGGGAAGGCAGAGAAGGATTATTAACCCATAGCATGAAGTTCTGGAATAGTCTTCCAGAAAGGTTAGAAAAACAGGGTCCAAAAAGTCCAGTTTTCAAGTTTATTCAGCTGATGACAAAGGCTGGAGGTGTGTGCAGCAGCAGGGAGACAAGCACGACAGATCATGTCCGTGTAAGTCCTGTGTTCCTAAATGACACAAAGCGTGAAATGCCACTGAATTGGAAAACTAAACTGCTACTGCCTCATTCATGTCAGTAGTATTTTTTAAAGATATAGTAAACATTTGAACTTGGGAAGAGGACACATACTTCTGAGCGGGAGAAGTCTATTGTAAGAAATATCACAAGCAATGACAACTGCATTTTCAGACAAGATGGCAGATCTGCACCTTATGCACATTGCTTTATAGTCCTTAAGTAGAGTACATCACCAAGCAAAGTCCCCACAATTAAATATGTAGCAATAAAATGCCCTTGCTAATCATCTCTGCAACTGATCCCCAGTGTAACCAGGATACAAATAAAATTCATCCTCATCCTGCACACCACTGTAAACTGGGTCTGTATTTACCTTATCCATCAATTGTATTGATCTGAATATATAACCAAGACAGTGACTTATGTTTGTTCTTAATTTGAGCCTAACAGGTGTATTGCAGTAATTAACTGGGCAATTATTTCATTACAACAAAGGATAAAGACTGAATCATATGCCAAAAATTATCTTTGCAAGATCACAGAATCATAGAATGGTTTGGGGTGGAAGGACCTTAAAGACCATCTAGTTCCAACTCCCCTGCCATGGGCAGGGACACCTTCCACTAGACCAGGTTGCTCAAAGCCTCATCCAGCCTGGCCTTGAACACTTCCAGGGATGGGCCATCCACAGCTTCTCTGGGCAACCTGTTCTAACTGTGCAAACCTGAAGTGGTGGGAGACTAGGTACCACCATTTGGGGATCAGATGCCCTAGAAGAGAGCCCTTGTGACTAATTGTTCAAGACAAGGCTGAAGTAATATCTTTTTCTTCTGTATCTAATTGGTAATCACTCATGGCCTAATACAAGACATGGCCAGGCACACACGTGCAGACCATGCTTAACAATCCACAGCACAACCATCTCTCATTCTGGATCTCACAAATGAAGGAAAAAGTTATAGGACAGATGGGTATGCAAACAAATCTGAAGTGCTGCCAGCCGTGGCATTAAACAAACAGACTGAGTGAATGCTTTGCACTTATCCAAAGATCTGGGTTTCTGGCTGCTCTGAGAAATTCCTTCTCTTCAGCTTCCAAAGCATCACACAGACAAGCTTGGGAGCGCTTGGCCCTCCCACTTCTGCCCCTCACTGCCGTTAAGTGACTCTACTGAGCCTGTCCAAGCAGTTCAGTGAATTACACTGAACTTTGCAGCTCAAAGGTATGCCCCTCTCTGCAGAAACACCCCTGCAGTGCCACTTGTGGGAAGGTTCAGAGGGCCGATGATGCCCGAGTAGGTTGAATGCTTCTCTTACGGAGTGCTTCACTCTCTTGGCAATATGCCCTCACTTTGGCCATGGACATGTATCCAAAGGCTCGGTCTTCAGCTGCCCTTCCTGCCAGGGGGCTGTTCAAAATTCACCTTGTTCACCTATGGCAGTCCTAGATACTAGCTTTAGGCAAGGCCTTAAAAATGCTTCATCTCACCTACCTCAAATCCTCCTCAGAGGAACTTGGTCTTTAAACACAACCCAGTCTGAGACATTTAAGTAGAAATTAACTTTTTTTGATAAAGTAAGATACATTGGTAAAATAGAAGAATTTGCACATCAGGTAAAATATTCTCTACTATTCACAAAATCTGTTTACATCCATGTTTGCATTTCAGCATCTAGTGTAGTCAGTGAAGATTTTAACACTGACAATAAGGTGAGTATAGTGTTGGAGCGAGTCCAGAGGAGGCCACAAAGATGCTCAGAGGGCTGGAGCACCTCTGCTATGGGGACAGGCTGAGAGAATTGGGCTTGTTCAGCCTGGAGAAGAGAAGGCTCCAGGGAGACCTTATTGCAGCCTTCCAGTACCTGAAGGGGCTACAAGGAAGCTGGGGGGGACTTTTTACAAGGGCCTGTAGTGACAGGACAAGGGGTAATGGGTTTAAATTGAAAGTGGGGAGGTTTAGATTAGATATCAGGAAGAAGTTCTTCATGGAGAGGGTGGTGAGGCACTGGAAGAAGTTGCCCAAAGCAGCTGTGGATGCCCCATTCCTGGCCATTTTCAAGGCTTTGAGCAGCCTGGTCTAGTGGAAGGTGTCCCTGCCCATGGCAGAGGGGCTGGAACTAGATAGTCTTTAAGGTCCCTTCCAACTCAAACCATTTTATGAAATTTTGATCCTTAATTACAGCATCAGCAGAGCAGCAGATCCTTACCAACGTGGCCACATCCTCTCCTCAGGCTGTGCTTTCCCCTTGCTGAAGAAAAACTTCCCCAAGCATGATGCAGTTATTTTAAATTTTCTGGAGATAAAAGACACGCCTGTTTTGCAAAGACGTTGGTTTTGAACCACAGTATTAAGGGAAAGATAATTATTTGTTGTTAAAAACAACATAGCACTTAAGCCTAATTTAATGTTGGATTATATGGTACATCGAGAGAAGTTTTATTTAGAAATAAATAAATCTCCTAACTACAGCACAAACATATCTATCTACTAGTCATTTTTTGTAAGCAATTTAAAAAGCAGTACAATTTTGAATTAGCACCTGAATAAAAGGGAACACAACTAAGACATAAAAGAATGACATTTTATATATATGGAACTGTGGCAGTGAGGCTCCTTGCTAAGAGTTAATAGGTTTGTTTATTTAGAAGATCTACATTTTTCGAACGAATAGAAACAGCTGTAGTGAAAGACATCACTGATAATTCATGGATTATCACTTGAACTACTCAGGGGAATTTTAATTTGCAGCCTTTTAACTGAAACAGTAAGCCATCAGTGACAAAGAAAATATGGGATAATTTCATACAGAATCTATTTTACATTGTACAAAGGAGGGTTCAACATATGAACTGACTTTCAAAGAGATTTTGTATATTTGGGAAAAAAAGTTTTAAAAGCTCACAAGTATCAACTATTTCCAGAAACTGATACACAACACTAACTCGAAATACACTGAACTCTGCGAAATAAAGAGAAAGGTATACGTGCAGAAAAAAACCAATGTAAGTTTCAAGAGTCCTGGGAGCACACTTGAGGAATGTGTCCTTGTGGGACAAAAAAACCCCACAAAAAGCCTTTGAAACCTGCTTGGGGGGCTGATACACAACACTAACTCGAAATACACTGAACTCTGCGAAATAAAGAGAAAGGTATACGTGCAGAAAAAAACCAATGTAAGTTTCAAGAGTCCTGGGAGCACACTTGAGGAATGTGTCCTTGTGGGACAAAAAAACCCCACAAAAAGCCTTTGAAACCTGCTTGGGGGG